CCCCCACCCCCCCCCCTCACCTGCGGCCCTGGCAGCGCGGGGTTCTCCCAGCTGTGCCAGCTGTGCCAGAAGCAGTGCCAGCTGTGCCAGCTGTGCCACCACCCCGTGCCACCACCCCGTGCCACCTCCCCCACCCCTCCCCCACATCCCAGGACCCCCAAAATCCTTCTGTCACCCAAAAATCCCCCCAAACCCCCCTCACCTGTGGCCCTGGCAGCTCCCAGCTGTGCCAGCTGCGCCAGCAGCAGCGCCAGCTGTGCCACCCGCGCCACCCGCGCCAGCCGTGCCAGCTGTGCCAGCTGTGCCAGCCGTGCCATGGCCGCTCCCCCAGCGCCGACTGCGGCCGCTCCCGGCGCTCTCCCGGTTTTTATAGGGAGCCGCTTCCCGAGGTTTTTCCAGCCGTTCCTGGAGCCGAGTCCGGGAGCCGAGCCCGGCCCGAGGCTGCCCCGGGAGCTCCGGGCGCGTTTTGTTTTTGTCTGAGCTGCTAAAATTGGATGAGCTCGGGAATGCGGCCGGGAGGGAGGGAGGGAGAGGGGAAAAATATCATAAAAATAATAAAAATATGGGAAAAAGGGAAAAGAAGGAGCCGGTGCCGCGCGGGAGGTGGTGGCGGTGGCTTTTTGGGGACACGGAGGTGGCCAAGAGGAAACGGAGCGGGGGGTGGGAGGTGACGGAGTGGGGGGAGGGTGGGGATGTCCCGAATTTTCTCCCAAATCCTTCCTTCAAATCCTTCCTTTCCCCAAATTCTTCCTTCCCCAAATCCTTCCTTCAAATCCTTCCTTCCCCAAATCCTTCCTTCAAATCCTTCCTTCCCCAAATCCTTCCTTTCCCCAAATCCTTCCCCAAATCCTTCCTTTCCTCAAATCCTTCCTTCCCCAAATCCTTCCCAAATCCTTCCTTCCCCCAAATCCCCCTTTTTTGGACCCAAATCTGTCACTGGAATCTGGGAATTCACCCTCTGGAATGGGCGCTGGGAGGGGTTGGATTGAACTGGGAGGAACTGGGAGGAACTGGGAGCCCCCCCATATCCCCCAAATTCCAGCAAATCCCGCCACGTTCCTTATTTATCCATCACCGAAATTTGGGAATTGGCTTCACAAGAGGGGCACTGGGAGGCACTGGGAGGCACTGGGAGGAACTGGGAGGAACTGGGAGGGACTGGGAGGAACTGGGAGGAACTGGGAAGTGCTGGAGGAGATTTGGGATGAACGAGGAGTCCCTGACCCGCGACCCCCTCCCAAAAACACCCAAAAATCTCCTTCTCGCCCCCTTTGAACCCCAAAATTCCGGGATTTGCTCTCCAGAAGGGGCACTGGGAGGCACTGGGATGCACTGGGACGCACTGGGAGGCACTGGGACGCACTGGGACGCACTGGGAGGCACTGGGACACACTGGGAGGCACTGGGAAGGGCTGCAGGAGTTCGGGACACACTGGGAAGGGCACTGGGATGAACTGGGAGGAACTGGGAAGGGCTGCAGGAGGTTTGGGACGCACTGGGATGAACTGGGATGAACTGGGAAGGGCTGCAGGAGGCACTGGGACTCACTGGGACGCACTGGGGGGCACTGGGATGAACTGGGAAGGTTCGGGACACACTGGGATGAACTGGGACGCACTGGGATGAACTGGGACGCACTGGGATGAACTGGGAAGGTTCGGGACGCACTGGGACGCACTGGGAAGGGCTGCAGGAGTTCGGGACACACTGGGAAGGGCACTGGGATGAACTGGGATGAACTGGGACACACTGGGAAGGGCTGCAGGAGGCACTGGGATGAACTGGGAGGCACTGGGATGAACCGGGAAGGTTCGGGACGCACCTGCAGCCGCGGCCGGAGGAATTCCCAGTGCATTCCCGGCATTCCCGCTGCATTCCCAGTGCATTCCTGGATTCCCAGTGCATTCCTGGATTCCCAGTGCATTCCCGGATTCCCAGTGCATTCCCGGTGCATTCCCGGATTCCCAGTGCATTCCCAGTGCATTCCCGGATTCCCGGTGCATTCCCGGTGCATTCCCGGCATTCCCGCCCCTCCCGAGCCCCCGCGGCCGGAGCAGCTCCCGGGGCTGGGCCGGGGGTCCCCGCTGGGCTCCCGGGGGGTCCCCGATCCCTTCCCGGGGTTTTGTGGGGTCGCAGGGGGTGGCGGGGGAGGTGACACCGCTCTGTCCCCAGCAGCGGGGTGGGGACACCTCGGGGGGGTCCCCAAACCTTGGGTTGAGTCTCAGGACAAGCCCCCAACGCCACCGAGGTCACCAAACTGTCCCTGCTGAGGGGACAGCAGCGCCACATTGGGGTGACAGGGCCACCAAAGCGTTATTGGGGTGACAGGGCCACCAAAGCTTTATTGGGGTGACAGGGCCACCAAAGCGTTATTGGGGGCACAGGGCCACCAAAGCGTTATTGGGGTCACAGGGCCACCAAAGCGTTATTGGGGTCACAGGGCCACCAAAGCGTTATTGGGGTCACAGGGCCACCAAAGCTTTATTGGGGTCACAGGGCCACCAAAGCGTTATTGGGGTCACAGGGCCACCAAAGCTTTATTGGGGTCACAGGGCCACCAAAGCTTTATTGGGGTGACAGGGCCACCAGGGCTTAATTTTGGGGTCACTGGGCCACCAAAGCTTTATTTGGGGTCATTGGGCCACCAGCCTTTTATTTGGGGTCGCGGGGCTGTGTTTGGGGTCCCAGGGCTGTTTTTGGGGTCCCGGCGCTGTTTTTGGGGTCCCGGGGCAGTTTTTGGGGTCGCGGGGCTGTGTTTGGGGTTCCAGGGCTGTTTTGGGGGTCACAGGGCCGTTTTTGGGGTCCCAGTGCTGTTTTTGGGGTCCCGGCGCTGTTTTTGGGGTCACAGGGCTGTTTTTGGGGTCGCGGGGCTGTGTTTTTGGGGTTCCAGGGCTGTTTTTGGGGTCACAGGGCCGTTTTTGGGGTTCCAGGGCTGTTTTTGGGGTCCCGGGGCCGTTTTTGGGGTCACAGGGCCACCACGCAGTCGCTGCCCGGGTACTCGGGGCCGCTGATCCCGAATTTCCTCCGCAGCTCCTCGGGCACGAAGCGCCCGGCCAGGAAATGGCTCCGGCCCTGGAAGCGCCGCGCGCACTCCTTGGGAGCCACCAGCGACACCAGGACATCCGGACTGATGTCACCGCTGTCACCCGCGCCCGCCGACCACCCTGGGGACAGCGGACAGCGTCACAGGGGACACCGCGGCACGGGGGGGACACGGGACAGCCGCTGGGGACACGGGGAGGGGACACGGGTGGCACCAGGGGACACGGGAAGGGGACACGGGTGGCATTAGGGGACGGGGGTGGCACCAGGGGACACGGGGAGGGGACACGGGTGGCATTAGGGGATGGAGGTGGCACCAGGGGACACTGGAAGGGGACAGGAGTGACCCCAGGGGACATGGAACTGTCTGTGGGGACACCGGGAGGGATCAGGGTGACCCCAGGGGACACAGCCCACCCTGTGGGGACACGGAGAGGGGACAGGGGTGACCCCAAGGGACACGGGGAGGGGACAGGGTGACCTCAAGGGGACACGGGGAGGGGACAGGGGTGACCCCAGGGGACACGGGGAGGGGACAGGGGTGACCCCAAGGGACACAGCCCACCCTTGGGGACACACGGAGTGGCTCGAGGGTGACCCGGGGAGGGGACAGAGGGGACAGAGGGCACGGGGAGGGCACAGGGAGGGTGGCACCGCCACTGTCCCCACACGGGCGGGGTCTGTCCCGGGCTCCGGGCGCGGCCGTGCCAGGCGCTCCCGGGAGAGCGGGGAGGGGACACTGCCAGCACGGGCGGGGACACGGGTGATGACAATCCCAGACACGCGGCTGCTCGGGAATGACATCTGGCAATGACATCTGGCAGTGACATCTGGCAGTGACATCTGGCAGTGACATCTGGCAATGACGTCATGTCTCGGGCCGGGCACTTTGTTATTTCCCGTGGATGCCCCAATCCCGTCTGGATCCTCGCGGGGGGCCGGGAATGTCCCCAAGGTCACCCCGGGAATGTCCCCAAGGTCACCCCGGAGATGTCCCCAAGGTCACCCTGGGGATGTCCCCAACCTGCCAGGGCCAGCAGGGGGGCCGGGAATGTCCCCAAGGTCACCCTGGGGATGTCCCCAACCTGCCAGGGCCAGCGGGGGGGTCCTGGGGATGTCCCCAGGGCCACGGGGGCCACGGGGGAGCACTGAGGGGACATCGAGGGGACACAGGGGACACCTGAGGGGAACACGGGGGACACCCGAGGGCACACAGGGGACACCTGAGGGGACACGGGGAACACCGAGGGCACGCAGGGGGGACACCTGAGGGGACATCCAGGCTGACGATGGGGATGCGGATGTGGCGGAGGGTGGCCAGGATGGCCGCGCACGGCTCTGTCCCCTCGGTCACCTCGGCTCCCAGCACCGCGTCCACCACCGCGTTGTAGGCGTCATTGACCAGCTGCACCTGGAGGCGACAGCGACACTCGCGGTGTCCCCGTGTCACCCCTGACGCCACAAACCCCCCCTCGGTGCCCTTTTCCTGCCGGATCGCCCCCAAAAAAAAATAACAAAATTGAACCCCCCCGCTCCGGGAGGGGCCGCGGAGCCGAGCCCGGCACGCCGGGAGCAGCGGGCCCGGCCAGGAAAGCGATTTTTGGGTCAAATTCCTCCGTTCCCAGCGCTGGGAGATTCCAAAAATAACAGAGCCGGTGGCTGGAGGCAGCGGGAGAGGGATGGGATGGAATTCCCGGGATCCCAGCAGCGCCGGGATGGGAGCGACGGGGGGACGGGAGAGGGGGAAAATCGGGTCTGGGGGTTTGGGGGGGTTTGGGGGGATTTTGGGGGGATTTTGGGATTTTGGGGGGATTTTTGGGGGGATTTTTGGGGGGATTTTTTGGGGGATTTTGGGATTTTTTGTGGGTTTTTTGGGGATTTTTGGGGGGGG